GAATATAATACACATAATGCATTACATAAATCACGTATATTATATTTTATTGTGTGTGTGTGTGTGTGTGTTTATGTGAGTGTATACAGAGAAACATGGTTTTTAAATGAAAAGAAAGAGAAATAAACCTTTAATTACAGCCTTGGTACGCCTGAGCAGCAGTAGATTAAAATAAATGATAATTCTCCAAAAATAAAGAAGTATAATTCATTATAAGAAGTGTTGGTATCAAAAGTAAAAGATGTTGTATTATTTGAAAGAATACTGGTAGCTTGTAGGATTCATTATCATTATTGTTGTTATCATATTAGACATGGTTTCATCCTTCTTTTTTTTTCTCCCTTTTTTTTTAACATTGGCTCAAAATATCAAATTATGTCAATACACCTTTACCTTTGTAAAGTCATCCCCTAAAATCTGTATCAATCTTTACCATGTTTACTCTGTGATAAAACAAGTGCTGTAACGCACGCCTCTATGCTGTGAAAAGTCAATATCACCGCGTGCAAGTTCTACTTTGGCAAACAAAATTTGTTATGTCTTGTTTTTGAACAACCTTGTGTGAAGTGTTATATCTCATCTTTCATTGTTGTAATGATAATTGATTTGAATGACAGACTGGAAAGGGTTGTAGACTGTGCAGATCAAAGCAAAGGTATGAGAAGGAGTGCAGGGGAATCAAAAAGAATCAGCACCAAACCATAAGTAATAATAAAATGTTACCCGAGAATTTGTTCTCTTTTTTCATTTTGTTTTGTTTTTTTCTTTCAGTACGGGAGTATTTGTTTCAACCAATGGCTTTCCTTCTACATACATAAATATATACATCTTGTATAGGCCTACATAGGAAAGATGCAATACCTATACAATAACAAACGAAATACACGCAAATCGACATATACTAATTATGAATAAACACATACTAAAAGATTTTTTTTAATATGTATAAGATAAAAATGTACATTATTTACAAGACTATGCATAGGAGTGGAGCAAAACATTTTATTCATTATTTTAACTATTTCAAATCTGCTTGATGAAATTTCAAACAGAAACACTTTATTTAAAAAGGAAAAGTACAAAAAGCAGTACTCATGTTCATGAACAAGGTACCCTAAAACAAAGACACCCGTGCGCAAGTCATAACCCAATGATTAATAAGAAGAGATGTGAACAGGGAAGAGAAGATGCTATGTCAGAATCAGACATGGGGAAAATGTAAATTTGGAGGAACTGAGGTTGCATACATTTATCTTATAAAAAATCAAAAAGAAAACTAAAAATTAATTTCCAATCCATTTTCTTCTGAGTTACAAATTGCTGTAGCAGGTCGTGCGCTGGTTTGTCTCCGTTGTTCTTGATCTCTGTTAGAGTTCGGCAAAGTGTAGGCCTATGGTTAATTGCTTGACTCGTATTTTTTATGACACGAATATTATTTTGAAGATAATATCGTAGGCTCAAGATGACTTTGCCCCCAATCTAGTGCAAGTTAAACAATGAGGAATCCTTTGAATATTTGAAGTTGAGAGTTAGATATACATTCTATTTTGCTTTAACGAACATCCGTGCTTTTGATTCTTATTTTCAAATTCTTTTAAGTCGTGATTTTTGTTTATTTCTCCTCTTTACCTTTTCATCCCTCCACTTTCCCTTCCTCCACTTCTCCACCCCTCCCTCTTTCTGTATTATTCATTTCTGTCACTGCATGATGAGCTCTATTTTGGATATAAACCTACTGTCCTTCTGCGGTCACACCAAGTCTTCTCAAATCCTGATCTTGAAAAGAAGATTTTGTTCCTTCAGATCCTAAGCCTGAGTTTTATTCTGTGATGATCTCTTCTTTACCAGTGAGTTTTCTCGAACTCTGTTGCAGTATACCCTTCACATACTTCATTTGATATTCGGCGCTCTAAAAGATTTAGCAGACGACATTGATATGAAGCCCGCGCGAATCCCATTTTCTTTCAGGATTTTGCCGCGCAAATCATCCGACTTTCATCGCTTAGTGTATTGCGGGGCAAAACAAACAGGGATGCCGTGTTCTATTTTCTTATTTTACCTTCTGGTAATTTAAAAACGATGTCAACTGTTGAAGAATCGGATAAACTTCTAGTCCTTGTTCGAGAAAACTTCTTAAAGAGACGGCTAAAAATAAATCCACTCGTTCCAAATTCGAGTGTGGGATTTACCATGAGAAGTTGTTTATCTAAACGTGCCGCTATTCAAAAGTATTTTCACTCTTTGAAATGGTGATATTTTAGTAAATTCCTCGCAATTTCTAAAAACATTGAATATTTATCCACAGTAGAGCCCCTTAATCTACTTCACTTTCCATACTAAGTTTACCGAGCGAATACTCAACGTTTAAATAGAAAGCTGGCTAAAATATATTCACAGTTTCTCACTTATTTTAACTATCATCTTCTCCTAGCAAAGTTTTTAGAATCCAAGTTTTCTATTGCTATAATTCCCCAAAAGTGATATATCATTTTTTCCAAAGAAAATATATTCACAAAATTATTAATGAATTTGTCCGAACCTGAACGACTTACAAACAAATCGGTTCTAACATATGATCTTAAACTGATGTTTGTTTTTGTAATGCAACTTCATTGACCACAGAGGTCAATGCATGTATGACTTCAGCAGAGGCTTCTGTTAGATAATTCAAGCAAAGTGATTAATTTGAAAGATCAAAGTACAAGTAGCCATTTATTTTATTATTTCAGTTATTTTTCACACCTGGTCCATTAGTGTCAACTTTTAGTCAATTTATTGTATTAAGTTTTGACACAAATGACCGCTCAAATAAAGCATTTACCCTATAATCGAGTTAGCCGAAGAACATGATGATTAATTTGGTGCTGGTCTAACCGCTAAACAGTAGCAAACAAGGAAATTATTACCTTCTCTCATTCACATGTTCACTGTTTTAGCAAAGCGACGACCACAAACAAGCAAAGCCCCTCTAACATATTTTAAGTGTGAATTTGCTATCATTAATTTGGCCTTCTGGTACACTTGGCCATAATTCATTTTGATGACAAATATATTCTGACACGGTCCTTTTTTCTACTCCTGGATCGAGAGAGACAACAGTATATAAAATGCCTTGTCTGTCGTTACATATCTCAAGTCTACGAAACTGTTTCTTTGGGAGAGCATTTATAAAGCACTAGGTCAATTAAGTGATTTTTTATGCCGTATATGTATTATCTTCATAAGTTTCTTATGTGTCTACCTAAAGGAATCGTTAATAATACATAACAATAAAGGAAATAATGATAATGATAATAATACTGGAAGATTATACGAACAATGGCATCAACTGTTATACCTTTGTAGTCAGTATAATTGACTAAACAGTCAAATGAACTGAACTGATATGACCTCATGAAATGCGATTGTAAGCATTAAACGACCTTTTAACATTAAATATCGTGTCTGATTGTATTTTGCAAAAGGAAATGAATATTGTGAACCAAATCGTCATTATGAAAACATTTCTCAGAAATCATTCCATTTACGTCACAATGATTGCAATTCCAGCCAAAGATCATGATGATGATGATGAATACGAGGTAAAATCATTATTTTATCATTGTCTGTTTTTCCACAAAAATGAAAAAAATTATTTAGTGTTTGTGTGTCTCACAGTCGTCATTTTTTTTACAGACATTTTGAATTTCTATCCAGATGTTTATTATGACAGATAGTTGAGTTATCCCTTCCTCTTTTCTCACCTCTTTCCTGCCCTTGCGCCCCTTTGGTGGGGGTCATTTCAGATTCCAAACGACATGCTTTTTAAAAATATAATTGCCTCGTTCTATTCCTTTTTTTTTTTTTTTAAATCATCGAAAAACGTATGCATTTAAAACGAACTCTGTATACGTATGTTTACGGGATTGGGTATCTCTGTCTCGGATTCTAAACAAAATCAGGGATTTAAGCTCATGCTGCAATCATAATTATAAACATTTAGGTTAGTCATGAATCCCTTGACGTTTACAAGCCGATCGCCGTCTGATTATTAAGATATTTATGATTGGAATTCGAAATTTCAAAAACCGTTTCGCAAAGGTTTTTATAACACTACAGTCTATTGGGGAAAACGAGTATGGTAAAACCGGACACTCAAAGGTGTTTACTTTTTGGAGGCACTTCATGATCATTTTAAAGCGCAATTTGTTTAGGGTTTCAATATTACACCATATCACAGACGCTGATGACACGCAGGGCCATGCATCTCAGATTTAACATTGTTAAACGATGCCTCAAAACAATGCCTAAGCAAAACAATCACAATATTTCATTAAACTCTGGAACTATCTAGCCAGTCATTGCACTCTTGGACTACATTATTAAAAGAAGACCGAAATGCTGTCCATGTAAACAATGGCTAAGCGTGGGAAAATATTCGACCAATTTCAGTTCTACAAAGGATTATTTTTTTCAGTTGATCATCATTGTCTTCTTCTTGTATGGTAACAAGTTGGGCTTTTCACAGTTTGTGATTTTTCAATTGACACCGGTTCGGTCACGCATGCATCGCGGGGATATCAAGTCAATTAAAGCGTTGGTCACATCCCACCGTGCGTGTTTTTAGTCCGTACGGTTTTTGGGGAGGCCACGGCCGCCACGTTTTCTGAAAACGTAGGGAGGGAGTGGCAAAGGCAGGGAGGGAGTACCGGCAAAGCACGTCACACGCACGGTGTAAGTACGTGGCCCGCACGCCACGCCTGGCCTAGAGCGGTTGCGAACATCGTACGTTGCGCACGTGGTAAGTGCGTTGTACGTGCTTACAACGTGCTTACTACGTGCTTACAACGTACGGTCTCCGTGCGGTTGCCACGTTATCTTACGGAGGCCGTACTTACACGTGCTGCTCACGTACGGTGTCCTTACTCACTCGCACGTTGTAAGTGCGTGCACGTACGAAGAACTTGGTGAGTCGGGGTATGTCGAAGTATATAGGACGACATTCCCATTTTCTCTAGAAGTCCCAGCTGCTGCTGCCTCAAGATGCCGCCCATCCCACCGCAGAAACTCCGGGTTCTGATGCTGCAAGAACACCTTCAAGTGGCAGCGCATGAGCACGACGTGGTATTACTTGCCTTGATACGGGAGAGAGAGAGAGAGGCAACAGAGATGCCGACGCAGGAGATGGTGGGTTCGCCCATGGATCGAGAGGAGGAGGCTTTTCGGGCAGTACGAAACGTTGTTCCAAGAGCTAGAGCGTGAATCGCGGGGGGACTATGTCGGATACATCCGAATGGACCCCAATCTCTTCCCCGAGCTCCTGCTCCGAGTGCCCCTTCGAATCACCAAGTGTCCAAGGTGTGTGTCTTCATTTCTGCCATAACAAATTCTTGGTTTTGCTTTGTATTTGCTTTAAAATTTTCGACTTCCGGGTGGCACACAACAGCATATCCACGTTCGTGCCGGAGGTCTGCACCGCCATCTACAAGGAACATAAGGAGGAGATGTTCAACATGCCCTCCACACAGGACGAGTGGAAAGCCGTCGCCAGCCAGTTTGGAACGCGATGGAACTTTCACCACTGTTATGGGGCGATCGATGGGAAACATATCGCCATCAAGAAGCCCAATAAAAGTGGATCGCTCTATTACAATTATAAGCGCTTCTGTTCTGTGGTGCTCCTGGCCATCGTGGATGCTAACTATTCCTTCTTGTGGTGCAAGGTGGGGGCAAACGGCTCTTCCTCAGACGCACGCGTGTTCAACGAGTCCACCCTCCGGGGGGCACTGGAGGACAACACCATTGGATTCCCAGCACCGGATCCACTTCCAGGCGACGACCGGAACTTTCCCTACTTCATCTTAGGCGATGATGCTTTTCCCCTGCGAAAGTGGCTCTTGAAGCAATACAGTCGCCGTGCCATGACCCACAAAGAGAGCGTGATGAACTATCGGACCTCTCGGGCCCGTCGGGTTGTGGAGAACGGCTTCGGGATATTGGCTCACCGGTGGCGGTGCCTACTCACCACCCTGCTGTTGGAGCCTGACAGGGTGATTCGCGTTGTGTTGGGCTGCCTCACCCTTCAAAATTGGCTGCGAAATCGCCGGCCCGGACTACAGGACCTTAATTTGGACCACGAGGATGAGGATGGCAACGTGGTCCCCGGGGCCTGGAGGGAGGATGTGCAGATGACCGAATCCAACCAGATGGTCGGCCAACGGGCCTCAAGGGAAGGGAAAACCCTGGGAAACTTATCGAAGAAGACCGGATTGACCGAGAAGAACTCAACCAGGCGCTCCTCCTGTTTCGCCGAGAACGAGCAGTTGGCCTTTTCCTTTGTCACACCCTTTTCATGTGACCCCTTCTCCGATCCACCAGCAGCACCCCCCCCCCCCCCCCCCCCATGATCAGACGCTTTGGCGTCACCATCTGACTCTTTTTCGCTCCTCCTCTCCTCTTCCTCTCTGGCCCTCTCATCTTCCGCGGCCCGTTTCTGTTGGGCCTCTCTGGCCTTCTTATCCGCTGCCTTTTGAGCTGCACATGCAGCTGACCCCTTATTCTGTGTCTTCTTCGGCGCCATCTTGGAGACGAAATGTTGGCACTCTTCCGTCAGCTCGGCTTTTGTATACTGCATAAATCAGTGCGCACAACGTGCGTTGTAAGTGCGGAGCACGTGCTTACTCGGTACGGTCCACGTGAGTTCTGCGTGCTCATTAGAAAGTTGAACTGGGGAAGTGGCGAGTAAGCACGGACCACGCGCTTATCACGTGCGCAGCACGCACGTGCTAAGTGCGCTTTCCGTAGAGCAAGTGATCGTGGGAAACAAATTTAAAAACGCACGGAGTCAGTGCGTTGTGCGCTCGTTGGCAGTACCGGGCACGCACGTCACGCGCACTGGGGGTGAATCGGTAGCCCGAACGCAGCGAAAGTTCCTCGTGCACTAAAAGTGCTACGGTGTGTCTGCGTGCTCCCAAATCCGTACGGAGGCGGTACTCACCACGTACCGATACCCAAATTTTGCCCACGTTTTTGCACGTAGACAGCACGCACTTGCAAGTACGGCGGGATGTGACCACCGCATTAGAGTTTGTTATAACAATATTGACAAGTTTGTAATATGTTTTCATAACGGCTTAACAGGTGCTTTACAAAATAAAAGAACAAATACCCTTATAAAAAAATCTTCCCATGATTTTTTGGGGGGGCTATCTCTTTGATGAATTGACATACCTTCATCAAGTTCACCTGTCATTCCAGTTATATGTCGCTATCGGAGCATAGAAATGTTGTGGTCTCCTGTGAAAAACAGCACCAGTGCTGGTAAGGGTGTACCATACGACAAGTGGTAAAGGAATACATAAATAAACTAAATCTTCCTATAGTCAGATGTATAGTTGCTACAAACTTTTATAAGACATATACAGTCACACCTGTCTATAGCGACCGCCCAAGGGAAACACAAAAAGTGGTCTTTGTAGACAAGTTCCTTTAGTACATGATTCAATGAGAAACCATTTTCAAGGGAAACAACAAATGTGGCCTTTTTAGACAGGTGGTCTTTGTAGACAGGTGGTCACTAAAGCAGGTTTGACTGTATATATATATTTATATATATATGATGGTAATTAGTTGGAGTTATGTACCCGGCGTAGCCACATCGTACTGCAGACCCCGCAAGCCTAATTAGCCCAGCATTTCCAGGTACTCACGGAGTACACCTTGGTCGAGAGTGACAAATGTGGGAGATCCATGTCCAAGAACGTCATCACCGAGCGAAGATCGAACCCAAGACCTCTCAGCTCTCATAAGGGAATCTTTACCATAACACCAATGAGGTACCATGGTACCAGCACCTCCTTGTTTACATCAAATTTCCCCTACGATGTACAGTCTTAATTAATATTCGTCTCAATTTATGTTTAATCTTGAACAAGATGTTTTTAATAACTGTGATAATTATGAAACATATACATCCACACACATCATCTTAAACCACAGCTTACCCGCCACAAGCTTCATGCTTATTGAGTTGTTGACTTTCATAATTATAGATCAATTCCATAATAGATGTAGTGTATGTATTTGGAAGATAAACGTTATTGAAATGGTTTCACAAAAGTCAATCATCCCGTTGAGATGAGGTTTTTACAAGGCATTACTTATATATTTAGCTAATACCTAAAACGACATAAATATGGATGTGGACATACGAACCAAACTTCTTCATGATTCGAAATGATAAAATCTACTTTATATATCTTACTGAAAGAAATCAAATCTTATAGTTCTTGAAAGCAACCTTGTTCCTTGCGAAATGCCAATTATAACCTTACTAAACATGTTTTAGTATTTTAGCAGTAGAACCTGTTGGACACATAAACTGGGGCGCCTTTTAATACCCCTAACCCTAAACAGAATCTCGAAGATGGACCTATGTCCCCTGCGTTTATGTTATTCTATTACAAATTATAGTTGGGAGCGGAAATAGATTTCCTCCCTCCCGTGTAGCGGCTTTGTGAGTAAATCTAACGACCAGGACAACAATTATTGAGAAGCAATTTGACCAATTCTAAATTGTATAACCACTCAATAAGAAACAATTATTAAAGTACCATTACGACGATAATTCCGAATAGCTCTTAGGGTTCCAATATCCATCTGCCACACAAACTCTTCCAAGTTCACTTAAGGCTAATAGATTTTAGATTTGATAAAGCTTTGCCCCCACGTTGCTCTCAATTCCGATTTCATTCATAAGCTTATGATATGAATGAATCGCAGGTGGATTTGAATCAAGATTTGGATGAAACTCAATGAACCATGTCACCCATTACCCTCAACCACTTGTATATCAATATATTGTCCGCTTCTATTATTTGAGAGACAACAGTTCTGGTCTAGTAAATTTGATTGTTTATTGGTTTCTTTTCATACGTGATAAAAGAATCCAAGTGCTTCTCTCTGCCATGCGATCACTCTTATAACTGAGAGATATTAAAGTCGGTGCAATGTCCTATCGAATCCATCTTGTTATGGTGTGTGCGTTTCGAGCGTCCACACCGTCCGTTTCATGTCATCAATATGAAATATTCATACCTAAAAAGGCTAAACATCTGAATTCATTTTATCGACATACATGGGAAATTCAACATGGCGTTCATATACAATCACTAGGTAGAGTAAATTCCTGGTTTAATTAAGCTTATGTTCTACAGATATTCAACTTTTAAAACGAACCAGGATTTTGTTTTAACTGATGGAAATAAAAATTGAACAAAACTGTCCTAAGATAATACGAAATGTGACAACACTATGGATTACATTTTGAATTACTTCTCAAATTAACATGTATGATTTTAACGTTATTGCTGCGGCAACGTAAGTACGAATACATTAATCTTGGGTAAAATTAAGCAGACTATACGAAAACTAAAAAGTTGTAATAACTTAGAAACTTTAATGGATGTTTTTCTTACATTCTACGGAAAATTTGATAAAGAATTCAATTGCGTTGACGACCGTATCATAGTTGTTAAAACACGGCCCCGCATCTTATGTTTTATTTTATTAATCATTATACCAATTTTATGTTGTATTTTTCTAGAGATATTTGAAATCAAATTAAATTAAATAACGCAACAGAAAACCATTACAGTTCTATCGTGACTATAATCTTCGAATGGAAGAAATCAGCATGAAAAAATAAGAGATTTTCTCTCTATGCTGACAGGCAACTGTGATATGATTCTGGTCTAATATGAAATAATATTTCATCATAACTTGTCATATTTTGTTGAAACGCGTGCGCATATCGGATTCTGTTTTCGTTTGCACGCTTCAACCCGTCCTCATTTTCACGGGCAAAATAACTCTGAGTTTGTGGCATTTCATTACTCCCGATGATACCCGTAGTATAGGGTGTAGCATAAAAAAGGGATGCATTTTTATTTTCATGCAAATTGGCTAAATGAAAGTGTACAATACAAGTTTAAAATATAAGTACTACAAGTAGAATACAGGATATGTTATGAAAACTACGACAAATAAAATGCAAAAGTTGAAATTGTTAAAAATACAAAGTGTAAAATATGCTCAGCGTGTGACATGCATGAAT